ACACGAACGCAGATGAGGAAGGATGCTTAATAAAAAAGAGGACGAGGAGGAAGCGAACAATCAGGACGAGGTTGGAGAAGGAGGCTCTCCAGGATCTCATTGATGAGTGAGGATCAGGAGGGGGATGGAGAGGAGGACGAGCAGGACGATGAGGAGAAGAAATAGTGAGGAGAAGAGGTGAAGAGGAGCAGTGGGGAGCACGAGCGAGGAGCAGCAAGGAGGAGTCTATATGAAAGGTAGAGGACGATCGAGTGGGGACCACGCGTGAGGAAGAAGGGAGAAGGAGGAGGAGGAGGAGGAGGAGGAGGAGGAGGAGGACGACGACGACGAGGACGAGGAGGAAGAAGAGGAGGAGTGAGCAGAAGCAATCAGAAGGAACAGCTTCTCCAGTCGTGCCGCAGTCTGGCGGGGCCCCCCTGGAGCGTCAGACGGGGGGACTGGAAGCCTCTCGCGGGTCGGACGGCGCTGGCACGACGGGTGAAGTGGGAACTGGCCCGCAGGGTTGGCAGAGCCAGCAGAAGCCTCCGGCCCACTGGGAAAATCCAGCAGAAGTCTCTAGACCACGGGGTGCACCATGCGCGTCAGAGACCACACATATGGATCAGCCGGGTCATCCCGATCACCCGCTTCACCCGGATCAGCCAGATCAGCCAGATCACACCGATCAACCGAACGGTACCCACCAGATCACACGGATCAACGGGATCAGCCAGATCAGCCGGATCACCCGGATCAGCCGGATCAGACCGATCAGCCCGATCACCCGGATCAGCCCGATCAACCGGATCAATTGGATCAGCCACGTCAGCCGCATCAGCCGGATCAGCCAGATCAGCCTCCAGATCAGCCAAATCACCCCGGATCACCTGGATCGTCAGCCGGATCAGAGGCTGGATCAACGGATCAACCGGATCAGCCGGATCGCTCCGGATCAGCGGCTGGATCAACGGATCAACCGGATCAGCCAGATCGCCCCGGATCAGCGGCTGGATCAACGGATCAACGGATCAACGGATAGTTAGCCCGGCCGGATCAACAGATCAGCCGGATCAGCCGGATCACCCGGATCAATTGGATCAGCCAGATCAGCTCAGCTGGATCAACCGGATCACCCGGATCACTCGGCCAGATCACCGGATCAGCCGGATCAGCCGGATCAACCGGATCAACCGGATCAGCCGGATCAGCCGGATCAGCCGGATCAGCCGGATCACCCTGCCGGATCACCGGATCACCGGTTCACCGGATCACCGGGTCACCGGATCACCGGATCAGCCGGCCGGATCACCGGATCACCGGATCACCGGGTCACCGGGTCACCCGGCCAGATCACCGGATCACCGGTTCACCGGATCACCGGTTCACCGGATCACGGGATCACCGGATCACCGGATCACCGGGTCACCCGGCCGGATCACCGGATCACCGGTTCACCGGATCACCGGATCACTGGATCACGGGGTCACCTGGCCGGATCACCGGGTCACCGGATCACCGGATCAGCCGGACCGACCCAATTTGAAAAAAAAAAACTCTAGTTCACATGCACTCGGAGATCTCGCCACCACCCCGAGCTCCGACCTCTCGTTTCGGACCGTCTCTCTGCGGCCTCGCGGCCCAAACGCGGGCCCAGGATGCAGAAACTGCGCGAAACGAGTATCCGCGGTGACGCTGTTGTGCGGCAGCGGTGTTGTGCGATCCGCCCAGCACGTCCTGCGGGCCGTTCGCGGAGCCCGGCGGCCTCTTCCCAGCAGGCCACGAGGACCGACGAGACTGCCCGAAGAGCCTGGCGGCCGGCCGTGCTCGGCCGGCGTGATTCAAAAACGTTGTGGATGCCACGACAATGGACACCTTAGCAGTCCGATCATTGACTTCAAAATGCGTTTCAAATGTCGGAAAAGTGTTCTAAATATGTTTTGAACATGTTCCAAACATGTTTAAAACATGTACTAAACATGCTGAAAACATGTGTTTCGCATGTTTGAAAAATGCTTAGAGCACGTCTAGCACTTGTTTAGACATCTGGAAATTGTTTGGCAGCGTGCTTCCTCGCAATTGCTCGTCCTCCACAGCAAAAAGGAGCGAACGCGAGAACGGAGCAGAACAGGCCGCCACCGGGCGCAAGCAGAGCAGAGCGACCGCGTGCAGGACGAGGACCTGGTGAGGGAGGCAATGGCGTCAAAAGTCAAGCCACAAGTAACGGTTCTTCACCAAAATGAAAGAAGAAGAAAAGAAAAGAAAAAAGGGGGAGGGAAAAATAGAAAAAGAATAATTTCAACCCCCCAAAGAAGAAAAACCTGCACGGAAATTCATCGGCCAACCTAGCCAAACAGCGCAATTCCAAAGAACACTTCTGGGGTATTGCACCTCGATGCGAAGCAAAGAACAGCATAGTCAGACGACGCAAAACGAAACAATACGGAGCAAAGGGAAAGCAGATCGAAGCAGAACGAATCTACGCAAAGGCGATGCTAAACAAGTGGACGGAAGCAAAGTCCTGCATCTCGAACCACAAAACAAAACTGGCGATGCACTCCAGAGCACAGCAGTTCAAGCCGAAGCAGCACCAACGCAGAAGCGACACCGCACTGCGAGGTGAACACATACTTGTCCTCCAACGGCGAAGTGGCGGCACCGTCGCGAAGCACTTAGCCGGGACACGCTTTTGCGAATTGAATCTGGCGTAGCAGATGGGTGGGGTGGACGTGGCAGTCAAGTGCAAGAGACGGCGCCGTAGCGTGCACGCAACGTGGAAAATACCAGAGATGGGCCATGTAGGCGCAAGAAAAGCAGCCGAGCCGCCCCGCGAGCCAGTGGCAAAAACTAGAGAGGCAGCACTGCACGACAAAGCGGGCGATGCAAAACCAAAGGAACGGAAAACCAGGCTGAACAGGATGTTGCAAAGCCGAGCAAAAACGATTCGAAAAGTAAGTCTGCTAGACGAAGACAGCGAGCAGAAATACGAAGTGCTAGGCAAAACACTCCCAGCAGAGCAACAGAAACAGCAGTGGTTCGGCCACAAAAGAGGGGCCCACGTAGAGATAGAACACAAGCAAAGAAGACTAAATCTGGCCAGTGAAATCAGAGTAAGTAAACGCTGGTTTGAAAGATGAGCAGCATATTGTAGCAAAGGAGCACGAGGAAGATGGGATCAGGGATTACAGATATAAATATATTCACTTCTCTTCCTAACTCTCCCTCTCTCTCTTTCTGTCTCTCTCTCTCTCTCTCTCTCTCGTTATCTCTTTATTTATCTCTCTCTCTCTCGCTCTGTCTTTTTCTCTACGCATATATATATATATATAGATGGTTGCCCCCCAAAGATCATACATCTCGTCTTAGCTCAGCTTAGCTTAGCGCAGCGCAGCATTAGCATAGCATAGCATAGCATAGCGCAGCATAGCAAAGCATAGCGCAGCATAGCATAGCATAGCATAGCATAGCGCAGCATAGCATAGCATAGCTTAGCTTAGAATAGCACAGCGCAGCATCGCATCGCATATCATAACATATCATAGCGTAGCATAGAGCAGCATAGCATCGCATAGCACAGCATAGCATTGCTACTACTACTACTACTACTACTACTACTACTACTACTACTTCTACTACTACTACTACTACTACTACTACTACTACTACTACTACTACTACTACTACTACTACTACTACTACTACTGCTACTACTACTACTACCGCTACTGCTAAAATTGCGACGATGAGGAGAAGGAGGAGGACGGCGTTTACCGTTACTACTAATATTGCTCTCCTCGGGGCTTCAACTCCTCGGGGTTTCTCTGGGATAATTTTCAAGTTCAGCTTGGGGAGGGAGCCTGTTGAGTATCGGTTGGCGTGTTGGAGACGGAGGGTGTTGAGTACTGGATGGTGTGCTGGAGACGGAAGGAGTTGAGTAGAATATCATTTTCAACTTCAGCTTGGGGAGGGAGCCGGTTGAGTATCTGGTGGTGTGTTGGAGACGGAGGGAGTTGAGTAGTAGATTATTTTCAAGCTCAGCTTGGGGAGAGAGCTCGTTGCTCCCCTGCCGCCTCCCCCCCCCCCAGCACCTCTCTCTGTGCCTCCCGAATCAAGACAGAACGCGCGCGTGCACCGTGTTTGGCGCCACCGATGCACGGAAACGCTGTGTATTTTTGTTTTTTGGGTTTTTTTGTTGGTCTGCGAAGCCACGAAGCATTGTGTATTTTTGGTTTTTTGGTTTTTTGGGGGTTTGCAAGCCCCCGTGCCCGCCGCGGCCTCCCTCCCAGCACCCCTCTCTCTGCCTCTCAAAACCCCCCCAAAAAAAACAAAATAAAGTGTTTCGTGGCTTCGCAGACCAAAAAAGACAAAAAACAAACAAAACAAAAAAAAACAAAAAAAAATGCTTCCTTGCATCGGTGGCGCCAAGCATTGCGTATATAGAGAGAGAGAGAGAGAACAAAAAAAAAGAGAGAGAGAGAGAGAGGCAGAGAGAGACAGACAGAGAGAGAGGCAGAGAGAGAGAGAGAGAAAGAGAGAGAGAAAAAGGAAAAGAAGCAGTCCAGGATGAGGAGACGAAAAGGTATGATCTTGGGGGGTGACCATATACATGTATATATATATACATACATACATTCATTCATACATACATACATACATACATACATACATACACACATACATACACACACATACCTACATACATACATACATACATACATACATACATACATACATTCATACATACATACATACATACATACATACATACATCAATACATACATACATACATACATACATACATACATACATACATACATACATACATACATACATACATACATACATACATACATACATACATGCATACATACATACATATATATATATATATACATATATATATACACGTACACACGTATGTATACGTACACGTGTGCCTCGGCCCGCACGCCAGTGGCGAAGACGGCGGGAGGGCGTGGCACTCGCGCGCACCCGCCCACCTGCCGACACCCGCCGCCAAAACCCTCCCCGTCCAGAGGTCGGAGCCCTTGTAGCTCTCGCCACCCCACTCGCCTCTCAGGTAGTCCACCGTCCGGTCCTTCAGTCTCTCCAGCCTCCGGGCATCAAGCAAAGAGGTCGATGGGGGGGGGCAGGGAGGAGCCGAGGAGAGAGAGAGAAAGGGAAGGAGGGAGGAGAGAGGAAGGCAAGGGGCGGAAGGGCAGAAGGGAGGAGAGAAGAGAAAGGGAGGAGGCCAAGGGGGGGCAGGGGAAGGGAAGTGATGGGAGGTGGGGGAGTGGACTAGGCAGAAGAGGGTGCAAAGGAAGCTCCCCTGAAGCGCCACTTCATCTTTTGCGCTGCTATCTGACAAAACCTGGGGAAACGGAAAGCCCTGGAAGGCCGAATACGGCGGAAACCTCAGGACACGTTCCGCCGCTCAGGACCGCTTTGGTCTACGGCGACGCGAGCGGAAGAGGCAGGGAGAAAGGCGAGGGTCAAGGCAGAGCCGACCAGGATCTGTGTTCGCCGGCGGAGCCCGGCACGCGCAGGTGGGCATCCAGCACACCTGATGGGCCAGTCGCTCACCCCATGGCAAGCCCAGCGCGCCCATCGAAAGCGAATGAGCAAGGAGACTGCGGCCACCGAGGATCGCAGAGATAGTGATGTATTCTGGCACCTCCAAGAACTGCCTTACTGATCTCGGGCATGGATGTGGCATCGTGAACACTTTGCTGCCGGCCACGGCCGAAGAACGGCAGGGAGCCTTCCATCACAGCACCCGGTGGGCCAGTCTCCGCGCTAAGGACTTTATGTTACGCGCGCAATGGCGGGCCTACATTTACACTCGTTGGACAAGAGCACTGGGATCATCGGAGGAGGATTTTCTGAAGAGGATAATGAAAAGAAAAATCGGAAGAGGGAGGGAGGCAGGCAAGGGGGGGAGAGGGAAGGAGGAACGGATGGAGAGAGGAGGAGGAGGAGGAGGAGGAGGAGGAGGAGGAGGAGGAGGAGGAGGACCAGACTAAACTCAAGATGCATGAACGATGCTGCAAGACAACCTCCTGTGCCAAGTTCCCTCCCCACGAGTCCGTAAAGGGCTTCTCTTTTACTACAGTAAACTCTCCCTTGAAAGACGATCACCCTTTGAGCATGCCATTTGGGCGAGAGCACCCGTTCTGAAAAAAAACAGCCTTGCATCATTTCAGCTGGAAATCAGGAGCGCCACAAAATACATGGGACGATCAAGTTCGACGACGTATCCACCAAGTGCCCCTTTGGGAAAGAACCATACCGCCCCTTTCGACTGTGAAGCAAATCTGCATGTCTGGTCAGGTTGAACGCTTCTGTTCATCCGCGCAGCTGCTGCATATGTTGAAGCTCCTGGTCGTCCACATCAGAGATGTCCCAGGCGAGATCCCCTTTCACAAAAACGCGTATCCATACAGTTGCTGCGAAATTTTTCCAAGTGATAAATTTCATTGGAGGGCGTCCCGGGACGACGTACCATTTTGATAACGAAGCGGCCTCCATCCGTTCAAGAATACAATGTGAAGTATTAGTTCGAACGTGTTATACAATTATCTAAAGCGAACGCACTGTGTAAGAACTGCCCTCCGCAATTCGAACTGCTACAAACTATTAGGATGAATGAGCGTGACAAACACCCCTCCACCCGCGCAGCTACTCAGAGTTGTTACAACGAAAGCGCGCGACGCTGCGGGGAGTGCCGCAGGTTGAAGAAGGATCCTCCCGTCCATCTTGGCTGTTGCCCAAAATTTGTAAGACGAATGGGCGCGTTGCTTACGCGAAAACCTCGTTTTGAAAACGACCCGCCCTCCATCACTGTTAGAGCTGCACAAGTTCAACACGAATTGAACGGCAGTAAAGCGAAAGCCCCATTTCCAAAAACCACCCGCCCTCCACCCTTGTAACTATTGGAAACCACTTGGCTTCAAAATCATATACGTTGAAGCTGGATCCGGCGAAACAGCAGGTCCGCATTACCGCCACGTAGTGTGTCCAGACGAAGAAGAATTATGTAGAAAGTGGAGGAATACAGAAGGACCGAAGCAACCCCAACATGTATCAACGATGCTGCACTACACCTCCCCGCTCCAAGTCCCCTCCTCACACGCCCCTCACATGAAAGAAACAGCGCACCGCTGGCGACAAGACCTCAAGGAGACCCGTCCTCGGGCGAATCGAAAAACGTGGAGAAGCTCGCACGCGTCGTGCACGCGTACGCTCATAACTGCTCCAGACCCATCCGGCTAAATCAGCAGGCCAAGAAGCATACAGCCTTGTTGAATCACAACGCGTAAGCTGTCACCGCACCAGCAATGCCAATGACCACCAGACCGCCAGCACGGTTCGAGTCGCGAAGCATCGCGCCTCCATCGCTGCCGTCACAAAAACACCTCGAAGTACAGCGACATCTGCTACATCCCTATGGTTCCCCTAAGCCGAGAACCTTTTACACCTGCAAGACTTACCCTTCAACCCCCGACGCACACCCCGGCCACGTGTGCACGGAGAGCTCTGGACGTAGAGCTCTGGACCTCCGACTCCCCGTAGAACCTCGGCGACAGATTTTTGTACCAGGGAGCGGCCCGAATCCGATGGGCTCATATATATATATGTATACATATATATATATATATATATATATATGTATGTATGTATATGTATATATATATATATATATATATATATATATATACATATGTATACATGCACAATGATGCGATGACTACTTTGTCCCGCACAGAGTAGTTAGGCCTGGAAATCACTCCAACTTGGACCCACTCACAGCTCAATCACTCCTCATGGGCAGCTTGAAATTGTCAGTGTCATCTTCGTCATCCTCGATGCTCCATTGCATGTGTTCTAACTTTGACGCGGAGTGGCCCTGGGAATGATTATCCAAGGCTGTCGCTCTTGATTCGCTGGCTGGCCACCCAAGAGAGCCCTCGAAAACTCGCGACTCCGCATCAGGGCACTTGTGCATCCTAATCGGTCGTCCGCGGCACGCGGGACCAGCTATGAAATTATCCGCCGATGGTCAAAAACTTTAGTACCTGGCAAGTATAGATCCGCGCGAAGGGCACCGCGCACCGCTCCTCCCTGTCCACGCGCTCCCCGGACCCGTGGCCCACTCCGGACCGCCTGATCTCGCAAACCACAGCCCGTGAACTGCTGGACCCAGCGAGCGTTAGCTTCCACCACGAGTTTGAATGCGAAGTCCTCTGCGCCACGCGGGGCACACGGTAAAAGGCCACCCATCGGCACCTGCACCTCCGGAAGGCCAACTTCGGCACTGCAAAGACGTTCTTGACCGGCCTCGTCCGGGCAGGGCAACTGTTCAGATGGTAAAGGCAGCGGGCCCAGCCCCAGGGCTTCGCTGCCCCGCAAACGTGACATGCCGCTGCGCGATTGTAGCGATTGCCAACCAGATCCTGAAGCCGCGCACGCCGCGCAGGCGCCCTGGAGAGCACTCCCAGGCCAGGCGCCCCTTACTCGGCAGCTGCCACGAACACGAACCTGAAGACTTGAAGCCCTGGTTTTGCAATATCCACAAGTGCAACGCCGCCGTCAGCGCAGCGCGCCCATCGCACCTATGGATTAAAGACGCTCGCCAGCCCGAGTCCCACGTCCAATCCAAGCGCCGCGGCCCCTCCGATTGGACAGGACCATCGTTTCATTCCATGAAATTTCAGACGCAGCGACGGCGCTGGGCCGGCCGCGCATCGGGCGCTTCCGGGCCCGCAGCCCCCAAAGCGCAGGCGCTCTTCTTCTCCGCGGGGGGGGGGCGGCAGGCGCGCTCGCGCGGGCCGTCTCCCAGCTCGAAGAAGTCTGTCACCCCCTCGCGAAGTCGGCCCAGGGCCATCGTCATCATGGCAGGGCATGGCCAGCGGCACCAATGTCCTCGCCGTGGCTGAGACGCACACCCAATGATCCAAGGCATCGTCGCAGCGGGCCACCTCTGTCATCATCAACGCCGCCGCCATCATCATGCCCAGGCCAGCCCCGCGGCAGCAAGGCGGTGCGTGCTACCTAGCTATATCCACAAACCCCTTCCCGTACCCCGTACTACGCACATCGATGACGGACGGCGGGCGTCGCTCAGCACGCGGCCACGATGACGCCATCACGGCACGGCAAAGAAACAGGAGGAGGAGGAGGAAGAGGAGGAGGAGGAGGAGGAGGAAGAGGAGGAGGAGGAGGTTAAAATAACTCCTGCTTTCGTCCTCTTCGGAGGACGAGGAAAAGGAAGATGAAGGAGGAGGAGGAAAAGGATGGAAAGGAGGAGGAAGAGGAGAAGGAATGCACCAGGACAGGGGATCATTTCAAGGGTCCAGAGGCAAAAGGGCACGCGAACAATCAAGCACGCATCATAAGGCGTGCAATACAACTGCACGCCCCCTGCCCCATGGGTGACGGGGCCCCCTGACAACTGCGAAGCATCACGAACAAAAGTACGCAGGCTGGTGGGAGGACGAGGGGGGGAGGAGAGCGCGCAGAGGGCAGCAGGCCGCGCGCGACGGGCCCGAGACCGCTCTCGGCAAAGCACTGTCCGCATTAGTGGGGAGCGCCCCAGTCGGCTCGCACTGCGGCGGCCCCCCGGTGCAGCCCCTTTGCTCTGGCGCCAGCCAGGAGCTTGGCAGTGCCAGAGGAATCCAAGCCCCCCCCCCCCTGCCCCAGCATGCGCCACTGGCGGACGCGGCGGATGCGCCTATACCTGGCCGCCACGCGAGGCCGCAGCGTGGACGAACACATATGATCTGCACTGTCCGGGCATGCGGCCCTTTCCGAAAGAACTGCAGAAGGAAGAAATGGCTGCTGCTTAGCGGGGGCATCGTAGCCTCCAGCGCCAAGGCACTCCGCGGGCGAGTCGCCCAAATGCACTGGCACAGAGGAGGCCACACGTCAGGGCGCACGGCGCCTCGCTCACTCACGAGCGCTGTCCAGGCGTGGCTGCGCTCCCTGGACCCTCTCCTTCCTGACGTGGTAGAGTGGCTTTTCGCCGGGCCTCCGGCTTGCACCGAGGCGCGCGCTGATCCTGCAGCGCGCCGCCTGCTCCTCCGCAGCTGCAAGTTTTGCGTCGTCCGCCCGGCGC